TAAGGATACTGATCGACAGTGGCTCCATTCAGAAGACCCGATTGCTGTTAGTGTTGTTAACTACTACCAAACACTCTTTAACCATCCTACTGTTTGTAGGCCCCCCATCCAGCAGGATTTGTTTTGCAGGGATGAGAACTACACTAGGGGACTGGATCTGGCATCTATTCCTGGGGAAGAGGAAATCTGGTCTGCTTTGGCTTCCATTGATAGCTCCAAAGTAGCTGGCCCTGATGGATTTTCAGCTGACTTCTATAAGAAATCATGGAGGATCATTAAAGATGACATTATTAAGGCTGTCCAAGTTTTCTTCATAGGTTTGGATCTTTACAACTATTTTAAATGGTGCACTATAACTCTAACTCCCAAAACTTCTTTTGCTCTCTCTTTGGATCTTTTCAGGCCTATTAACCTTACAAATGTGCTCTCTAAAATTATTAGTAAGGTGATCTCCAATAGACTCCAACCTCTCCTTCCCAAGCTCATTTGGGAGAACCAGTCAGCTTTTATTAAAGGGAGAAGCATAGTAGAGAATGTTCTGCTGGCCCAAGAATTAGTGTTGGACCTGGATAAGCATTGCAGAGGTGGGAACCTAATGCTTAAATTGGATATCAGAAAGACTTATGATACCATCAACTGGGAGTTCATTAAGGAAGTGCTGCATGCTAAGGGATTTACTAAACAATTTATCTTGCTGATACATAGATGACTAAGAAACAACTCTCAATCAGTGTTTATTAATGGTAAATCTCATGGTTTCTTCACCTCATCTAGAGGAATCAAGCAAGGTGACCCACTATCTCCTACTATCTTCATCATTGCTTTTGATTACTTCTCTAAACTATTGAATCAGCTTATGGTTTCATCCCCTCTTACACTCTACAGTCATAGATCTAACATTGCTGTGAATCATTTAGCATTTGCTGATGATGTTATTATTTTTTTCCCAAGCAACCAAACCAGCTATTAAATTGGTTCTTCAATGCCTGGAGAAGTTTCAGGAATGTTCTGGTATGCAATTCGATGCTAAGAAATGCCTATTGGTGTTTAGCAAAAAAGTTAAACCTGAAATTAAGCATTGGATTGCTGACCTTAGTGGCTTCAGGTCCAGCTCTCTGCCTTTAAAATACCTGGGTACTTTGCTATTGAAGGGGAAAACAAGGCAAGTTCAATTTGATGAATGTATCACCAAAATTCAGGATAAACTGAAATGTTGGCCAAACTCATTCCTTTCCAATGGGGGTAGAGTTACCCTTCTTAAAAGTGTCTTGACAGCTCTTCCATCCTATATCTCCCAGGTCTCTGTAATGAAGCAATCAACATAGTTAACTCTGGAAAGAATGTTTAATAGATTTTTATGGGCAGGTCAGAGGAAACAAATGCATTGGACCAGTTGGCATAAACTGTGTGGAAGTACTAGTGCTGGTGGGCTGGGTTTCAAAACTATCAAACAAATCTCTCAAATTAATTTATGTAAGCTTTGGTTGATGTTCAGAGCTCAAAGTTCTCTTTGGGCTAAATTTTTGAAGTTTTTGAAGGGCAAATACGGCAAATACTGTAGAGAGATGCACCCTTCCCTTGTCACTAAAAGACTTGGGGATTCCGGGGCCTGGACCAATATGCTGAAAGTAAGGTCACAGGCTGAAAACCTATTTATTTGGAAAGCTGGAGAGGGAAAGCTTAATATTTGGTTGGATAATTGGACTGGTGAGGGTTTAATCAACCCATCATCTAATTCTCATTTTAATCCTACAACTCAGGTGGCTGAGTTATGGCTCAATGGTGATTGGAATCAGCAAGCTTTAAAGAATATACTGGATAATAGAACTTTACAGAAAGTAATGAAAATCAACATTGATAGTGAAAGTAAAGATAAAATGATTGTGAAAAATAAGGTGTCCCAGTCTTTATCTTCAGCCATAGCTAACTTCTGTTTTCCTCAACAAAGAGTCATTTGGAGCAAATGTGTGTGGAAAAAATTCCTATCCCCTTCCATGTCATTTTTCTCTTGGAGATTACTCCATGGCTTTCTGCCCACAGATGATATATTGAAGTTAAAAGATTTGAGAGGTCCCTCTAGATGTGGGTTATGTAAATCCCAAGAGGAAATTATTTAGCATTTATATTTTCAATGTTCCACAGTTCAACAAGTTTGGAATTGTTTAATTCCCTAACTGAAGTTAGATATTTTTCAACTGTCCTAGAGTGATTTTTCCCTCAGCTGGAAGGATTGGCGGGCCCAGGACTTACCCCCTATTCCTTCTATCACAGCTTGGTTCATATGGATGGCTAAGAATAAGCTTAAATATGAATATACATGGGTGGCAGCTGCGTGGCAGCTGCCCATGGGTGGCAGCTGCCACCATTGCTACCAACTGCATCAGCTACCTGCAGAAATTATAGTGTCATGGGAAGCTTCCTGAAATCCTTCACAGTACATCCTACATTCTTCCCAGAAAAATCAAGTATGCACTTATCCATTGGGTTCCTCTCCCAAAGGGTGGAATTAAAGTTTACACTGATGGTAGTTTTTCTAATCCTTATGCTGGTATTGGAGGGGTGTTCAGAAGTAATAATGGGAAGTGTTTACTCTACTTCCATTCTCCTGTTAGAGCTCAGGATCCTCTGGAGGCTGAAACATTGGCTATTTTTTGGGCTATTTTTATGGCCCATAAGTGTGGTTTCACCTCAATAATCTTAGAATCAGATTCCAGGGTCCTAATTGATATCATTGAAGGGAGGATACCTACTCCATGGTACCTGATGCATTGGATCAAAAATATTCAATCCTTTGGAGAGGGTATTAGCTCCTCATACTCCCATAAATTGAGAGAAGGTAATAGGCCTGCCCATTGGCTAGCTAATGTAGGCCTTCATTCTGAGCTCCCTGGAGTAGGCATTTCTCCTACCCCCCACTTAGATTTATTGTTGAGAGGAGACCTTGTAGCTCTTCCTTTCATTAGAGTTTTTTCTGTTTAAATATTTGGGAAGGGACTCTTGTGCTCCCTTCTCTTGTACTCTCTTTTTTTTTTCTATTTAATGAAGTAGAAGCCACTGTCTCCTTTTTTAAATATATATATATATATATATATA